GCAGCCTGTGGGGGCCATGACCCCTGCCCTGGCCTGGGAACACCCTATCTTCAGCCTCAGCCTCTCAAGAAGGCCCCTCTGGCCCCATCACCCTGTCTTATAGTGTCTGTCCTCGCCCTCCTGAGTAGTTGGGGCTACAGGCCTGTTCCAACACACCTGGCTGTCCTCCTGAGTTGTCAACATGTTATTCATGTGCATTCATTAAGCACCTCCTGCATACTAGCCATGTGGAGTGGATTCTGTAGCATGACAGCCAGTAGGGAAGCCATTTATCAGGCAGTGATAACACTCTGAAGAGTGGAGACTTGGGGACACAGAAGACGACACTGGAGCAGAGCCCAAGGGAGGGAGGATTTCAGACGGGGCAATAGGAAGGACATTTTGGTGGAAGGCACAACACATGCAAAGGTGTGTAAATAGCAGAGGTGGCTGCTGGAAGAATAGGAAGACTGTGAGCCCAGGGGACACAGTCCAACTCGGGGTCACAGCCCCTGTGGCTCCTATGTACAGACTGGCTATGGGGACAGGACAAGGCAGGGAACCAGTGGGGAAGTGGCTGCCACCTTCCAGGGAAGAAATGGGGTGGTGGTCACAGAGGTGGAAGTGGGCTGGATGTGGGATGTACTGGGGAGGGAGGTGTTCTGTTGAAAGGGGCAGGTGAGCAGAGCCTGCAGTAAGGAGGGGGCTGGCCAGTGAAAATCAGGGAAGTGCTCCACCTGCCCAGTGCAAAGCGACCGCAGAAGGCCAAATTTCCCTGTGCAACTTCAAAACTGTGTTTACTTTCTGATCAGATAAAAAACATGTCAAGGTGACAAACTGGGCCAGGGTGTTAGGGACAGGGAATTTGTGACCCTGACAATTCTTTACCTGACCAAACTTTAGTTGGACTCCTTCACCTTCCCCTAGGACCACGTGTGCACTTCCTTGTTAAATCCAGGCTGAGCAAAGAAAGCTGTGGAGTCAGTTTAGCAAGAGCCCAGCATCCCCCATATCCAAATTCCCTTGATAACTGATCGGGCTCATCCACCACTGCCATGCCTGGGTGATGTCTGATTGCCCTGGCCTGCCTTCAGCAAGAATCCTGTTAGGTCAATTGGCCCATTTTCTGTTGCTCTAACTGAATACCATAGACTGGTATTCCAAGAATACAGTTCTATTTAGTTGTGGAGCATGGTGCCGGCATCTGATGAGGGTGCTCTTGCTAGGTCATGGCATGGTGGAGGGCATCACATGGTCACAGAGAGTGGGCTTGTTTTTATAACAAAGCCACTCCCTCAATAATCCATTATTCCACTGAGCCATGATGGATTCACCCATTCAGAGGGCAGAGCCCTAATCTTACTGATCACACTTGGTCCCACCTCCAAATATCCCACAATGAAGATTAACTTTCAACTTGGGTTTGGATGGGGAGTTGGTTTAGCCAGAATGCCCCCCTACTCTTGGTGTCTTTAGTAATTTTTCACCCACTGTCCAGCCCCAGCCCTGCCATGCCCCTTGACTATAAATCCCCAATTGTCCTTGCTATATTCAGTGTTGAGGCCAGTTGTGTACTGTGTGTGTGCATGCACGTATGCATGTGTACATGCACTTGTGCACACATTACTGGGGATTGATCCCAGGAGCACTCTACCACTGAGCTATTGGTATTTTTGATTTTATATTTTTATTTTGAAACAGAGTCTCCTTAAGTTTCTGAGGGTGACCTCTAACTTTCAATATTCGTGCCTCAGCCTCCTGAGTAGCTGGGAGACTGTGCTATGGTGACCAGATTGAGCCCCCATCTATACCGAGTCTCTTTTCCCCTATTGCAATAGTCCTGAATGATTTTTCTGATAATATCCAAGGACAGGGTTTTCAGTTGCTCTCCAGGAGGTGAAGGGCAACATCACAGGGTGATCTGGGTCCTCCCACCCTGTGAGACTCATAGTGCCTGAGAAGCCGGTGAGGGTCTAGGACCCCAACCCTATCAATCTGCAGGAGCTTACTTTCCACTGGGGCCCACTTAGCTGCAGCCAGCAGAAGCCAGACAGAAGGGAGGATGCCAGCATTATTCCCACTTCCACCCCCAGCCTGGAGAGTTGGGAGAGTGCCCAGGGCCCACCCTTGGACTTTGGGACACCTGTACCCACTTGCAGCCTCTGGGGTATGTATCAGGGCTAGTAGTCCCCTTGCACGACTGAAGCTCCCCTCTTCCAGCTGAGGCCTTATGTCCCCGCAGGCTTGGAGGTCACATCCTGAGTGGTACAAGGTGTATAGTCCCTATGAGTTGGGGTGGGGTCCTTAGGCCAAATCCTATACAAAGTCTGGATTGCTGAAGAGCAGCAGCCTGCACTTGGGAGACCCCCTCCTGGCTGCTAGATCTAGGACAAGGGACTGCTCTAAGCCTTAGTTTCACTGTCCATGTGAAGGTGGGATGTTGGCCTTCCTAGAAGGCGCCAGGATTCCCTGAAAGTGGGCAGTACCTGGAGCTCCCACTGTCCTACCCAGTCCTGGCACTTACGAATTTGACATTACTTCTCAGGGGTGAAATGAATGCAGAGGGGTCAGTGCTAGGTGCCACAACACAGTGTGATACATACGGCCGCATTCAACTGTGGCAACAGGGATCTGAGGTCTGTGCGGGAGAAGGTATCCCAGGTTTTCCCAGGAGTAGGCACAGGCCAGGGCACACACCTGCCCTGCGGCAGGGTCTGCACATACTGTTCCTCTGCTTGCCCCAGACTGGCACTAAGGACAGCCTCCTACCTGCCCTGAGACTGCTCTGCCTTGTGGGGAAGCTGAGCAGGGCTCTTCACCAGTTTTGGGGGAGGAGTGTGTACAGTAACCACCACAACTCTACCCCAAAGTTTGGGGTTCCTGGTGATAACTGCAACCCAATCTCAGGGTTACCCTATAAGCCTCCTTTAGAAAGAGAGGCTGAAGCACAGGGGAGAACTGAGGCACAGTGATGCAGGTCACATGGACCGAAGAGACCATTGTGCGGTCCCAGAAGCGAACTCTGAGCTTGGGCCCCCATTCCTAGTCAGCTTCCAACACATCAAATTAGTGTGCTCATTCGGCACAGCTGGCACAGGAAGAGAAGACAAGTAAAACCAAATACTTGTCCATTGTTGATGGCTCTAAGGCCCTGGTCACCACCCCCCTACATAACAGGTCTCCATTTCATAGCTGGGACAGGGCCCATTTGCATCATATGGGGTTAGGGCTTCCTGTGGTGGGCATCAGAACTGGAAAGGCCAGGACTATGACTGAGGGGGTAGTGGGCAGGAAGGTAAGAGATTTGTCCAAAGCCACCCATTTTATAGGTGGGGAAATTAAGGCTCAGGCAGGTTAACTGACTTCCCTAGTGTAAGTATGTCCTTAGGCCTGAGCAGACAACTCCAATTCAAAACTCCAGTCTGAAACCTGCAGTCTCACCAGGCACCCCTAATGGAGCCCTCCGGTGTGGCTCTCAGGCACAAACAAGTCACTTCATCCCAACCTCAGAGTGAAGTCTCTGGCATGTTGTCCTCGCCCCATAAGGGGGAAACTCAAGAAAATCAGGGTGGGGACCACCAGATCAGATACTTTAACCCCAGGGTAAATGACATTGCTGAGAGATCTGGTGGCAGCTGATAGGGATTGAAAGGGTGGTCAAAAGTCCCAAAATTTAGTATAAATGAAGGAGCAAACGAACAGACATTCAGCCAGCTGACACTGATGCCCTCATGCCAGAGAGACTAATGAGGACCTGGACCGACATCTCAACTCTTCTCATCCTTTGCCTGATCCACTGCTCTCCAACTCTACAGCCACATCTTGACCCTGGTGTAAATGGTGACTTTTCCCTATGATGACCCTTTCTTCAACCAGCCCAGGAGAAGCCTGCCTTGGTTCCTGACCTGATCACCACGGTCTGAGTGAGTGTGCATCTTCTGGACTTAAAGCCTAAGGCATGAGATTTTTGATTTGACACTTGAACTTAGCATGCAGAGGGAATGTCTGTCATGAGCTGTCATGATTAGGTGTGTTTGCAGTGCTTAAAATTAATCTACAATTGTTTGCTGTGAATTGATTATGTCTACTGCAGTGCCTAGCATTAAGGATTGTCATTTTCTTGCTTAAGAACCTATAGAGTGAAATTGTATTGAGTGACTTGACAAAGGCAGAAGTGCGTGGACATTCTTTATTTCTCCCCCTCGACTGCGTATTGCCATCGCAACACCTAGTTAGGGCCACAATGCCAGGCCAGTGTTTCCTTTTAAAGATGGTGCCCCAATGGGAAACCACCACACCCAGGCCACACTGTTGAGTCCCAAGTCTCCCCTGGACTGGAGGAACGTCACTGTTCAAGCCCTACTTACTTTGGTTGACCTCTGGGGGCTATGGATGCCCACTGAACTTTTGCCCCTGGACTGACCTCCTGCTTGACCTTGGGTAAATCTTGTCTTCTCTGAGTCTCGGCTTCCTCAAGTCAAAGGTAGGTGCGGTAGTCAGGGGCAGAGCTGAAAGGCAGGAGATTGGCAGCACCCAGGCCTCCAGGATCTCAACCCGGCAAGTAGGCGGGGCCTTCGGGGCGTGGCCAAAGACTCGGAGGCTCGCGGCCTGGGAGGGGCTCTTGGGCTTTGGGAGAGGCTTGTTGGGGGCGGGACTTGGCCGAGGGGCGGGGCCAACGGGGGCCGAGATTCGGGGCTCCCAGCGGCGTCAGAAATGACGCTAGGGGAGCGGGACTCTGGGCGGCGCCCTCAGGGGCGGGCTTCGGCGAGGGGTGGGGCTCAGTGGTCCCGGCGGCGCCGAAGCCCAGGACCGCGAGGGCGGGTCTCGGCTGAGGGGCGTGGCTTAGAAGCCTAGCGGTGCGCAGCCGGCACTTCCTGGGCGTGGCCCATCTGGAAGGGGCGGGGCTAGGAGCTCCTCGCGGCGTCGTAGCCCAGCCCGCGAGGAGGCGGGGCAAGTCGAAGGGTGGGGTTTAGAGCTGGCGGCGACGTCGCCGTCGCATTCGGGCGGGGACTAGCGGGAAGGGGCGGGGCTTAGGGCCCGACCTGCGGGCGGCGGTCACCGGAGCCGGGGGGCCGGGCGGCGGACTGAGGGGCGGACAGCCGTGCCGGCCGCCATGACAGGTGGGCGCAGGGCCAGGCCAGCGGCAGGAGCCGAGTGACCTTGGTCGTCAGCTGTTGGCGGCCACTCGGGTGCAGCATCGCGCGTGTCGGGGTTTCCCTGGGTTCTGCGCGGTGGGGCGGTGGGCGCCTGGGGTCTTCAGGCACGGAGGGCGGGGCGCCAGGTTCGGACCGAGGAGGCAGAGATCACAGGTGAGCTCGGGCGCAGTGCAGTGCCGAGGTCGGGCCCTGCTGCTGCAGCTGGGGGTTGGAGAGGCGTCCCGGGATGGGATTGGGTCTGGAAGTAGGAAGTGGTACTCACTGTGGGCAGGGAGATAACCAAACTCATCCCAACTACCTGGAGGAAGGGGCACCGGGGGCGTTGCGTTCCTGGGCACTGTGTGGCACTCTTCGGACTCTAGCACTTCCTGCTCCCTCGGGTTCCAGCCGCACCCCTTGACCCCAGACAGGCTTGGGGAAATCGGAGACACCAGCTGGACTCTCCTCAAGACATTTGTGTTCCAGACTTAGTGGCTCCAGCCTGCCTCCCCCATTCCCCAGGGCCTCTGGTTGGGGGAGCCACCCACCTTCTTTCCCATCTCCTGCTCTGTGGACTTTTCCCTGTGAAAGAAGTTCACGGGAGTGATGGGCCAGTGAGGGACCCCATGGCAGAGCAGTTGGGGGAATATGGGAGCTCCCAGATGCTACACCTTGTTCCTGAGAGTCTCACTTTTCTGCCACATGAGGTGACCCTGGGGGTCAGAGTGGCTCCAGAAGTCTTCACTCCCCTCCTCTGCACTCATTGGAGTCTTGGCCTGAGTCCTGCACAAAAATAGGGACTCATGAGCTGGAACCTAGTAACTTCCAGGATACCAGGCCAGAGGAGATCCCAGCTGCCACCTGCTCCCTTTTGTCATTGCCACACACCCTTCCTATTTGTGGTTGCCATTTCTGAGTACCTAGTATGTACTGGGTCCTGCATTGGTCACTTCCTGGGGAATGTTATGTCTGTATATGATCCAGGAAACAAAGTGGCAGAGGCAGAGTGAGAGCCCTGGCCCCAGCGCCTTCAGTGCCCAGCTCCTTTAGCAAGTTCATCAGGATGCCTGAGACACACAGCTTGCAGCTGTGTTGGCCTTTAGGGGCTATGATAGGGGCTGGGCTCGCTGAATATAGAGGTAGCTCACTCCAAGGGGAACAGGGGGCCAGAGAAGGCTTCTTGATGAAGGGACCCTCCAACTGAGAGGCCACAGCCAGGCAGGGGTCCTCAAGACTGTGGAAACAGTGCACCCTTTCTTCCTCCCACCCCCTTGCTAGACCTCTAGACATTTCTCACTCCAGCAAGCACACATGAGCAGGTGTCTGGAGAACACTGAAGACAGTGTCTGCCAGGGCAGGTGTTCAGCTGAAGTTTCCCGACCCGTGGTGTGCTGTGGAGTTAGCTTAGTTAAACTGGGTGCTGGGACAAGAGGGGCTTCTGGAAGAGATTTTGGAAGACGGTTGATGCCTAAGGGTCTGGACCCTAGTAGGGTGGGGCTAGAGGAACTCAGGAGGACAATAGGCTGGGTACCAGTTAACTAGTTGTTCTCAACCCTGGCGTGGTTGTGGGCTCTTGGCCCAAGCAGGCGGGCTCTGGGGCCTGTTGGGGTCTGATGAGAACTGCCCTAGGGCCCTAGATGCCAGGCTGAGGGCTTTGGTCTGGGCTGAGGAGAAAGAATTCAGATTGGGGTGACAAGAGTGGCATCCATTTGCTTGACATCAGCTGGGCAGGAAGGCGAGGGCATGGGTGGGTCTTGGCAGAAGTATGTGTGGTTTTTTCACAGGGCAATCCATTTTCCTTTATCCTATGAAAACAGTCTTGGCCTTGTTTACCAGGGCCTGGCTCCAAGGCGGGGGCCCTGCTTGTGTCTTTTGGTGCTTCCCAGTGGCTGTGTATGTGTGGTTTGCATGCRGAGCTCATAAGAACCACAGGAAGCCCAGCCTGGAGCCATGCAGCCAGCCCCAGCCCCTGGGCTGTGCTGCCCRTGCCAGGTGACTCAGGGCTTCTGTGACTCATGGCTTGTGGGCAGCAGAAGCCCTGCTAGGGTAGCGGCTTCAGGGTGGGAGGAGGCTGCTAGAGGATGCTGGCCACTGTCCACCAACAGACCTCAMCCGTGGGCCTTGGACCAGTACCCATTTATTCCAGAACTCCTTAGTGAGCGCACACTATGCTTGGCTTTGTGTACATGGCAGAGTGCACCCTGGGGAGACAGCACTGGATAGGCAGCCTGGRGCTTGCTCCTGTCTGGCAGGGAGCAGACCCATATAGCCAGTTACATCATTGATTTGTACATAATGAGACAGGCAGAACATCTGGACGCCAAGAGGAGGCCCCAATGCAACTGTACCCAGGTCCTGACCTTGCAATTTTTACTTCCCAGCTGACTGGAGTCTTGAGCAGATACCTTATCTGCTTTCTGTGCCTCGGTTTCTCTGAGAACAAGAGCAGGGTTGTGTAKAGCTGGTGGAAGGATGGAGGGTATGGCCTACCCCGCAGGGGGTTGCTCCATGCAACTAGTTCATCTTCGCTCTGCAATGAGAGAGGAGGCCAGACTACCCAGTACACCTGGCCACGTGACTTTGGTAGGTCACTGGGTGACCCCGTGCTTAGGGCGACCCCTCACTGTGGCTGGGCTGTTGGTGATCCATCTTCCACACAGGATGTTGGGCCAGCCAGGGTTCCTAGTCCCCAATCGCCTCCGGTGTGGCCATGGTGATGGCTTAGGCTGAYGTGCCAAAGCATGGGCCTGGCAGAGGCAATGGCTGTGAACCAGAGCAGCTTCCTTCCCCAGAATTGAAACTAGAGAAAGGGGCCCACTTTTTCCAACATGATGACCTTATTTTATAAAAGGTCAACCTTACAGAAGTATAATCTTATTAGTAAATGCAGTAGTTTTTAGTGAGTAATTGGATAAGTTTTGACAAACGTCCATAGCTGTGTAACTATCAGCCTGTACAGAATCAAGACAGCTCATTTGTCACTCTGATCTTTTGTACTCCTTCTTAGATAATCTCCTCCTAGATTAGGGGTTGATCTGCTTTCTGTGACCCCCATTTTTTCTTTAAAATTTCTCTTTATGGTTTTGAGGAACTGTTATGCTGTTTTACACAGTGGCTGCATTATTTTGCATTTTCACCTGCAGTGAAGTACAACTTGAACTTCTTCACAGCTTCCCCAACACTAATTCTTTTAATATTTAGCTATGAGTATGTATGAAGTGCTACTTTAGCATAGTTTTGATTTGCATTTTCCTAACAATTAGTAATGTTAAGCATTTTTATTTGCTTATTTTACATCTCACAGTGTCTGCTCAATTCTTTTGTGTGTGTGTGTGTGGTGTGTGTGCACGCACGCGTGCATATGTTGTGTGTGTGTGTGTGCGCGCGCGCACACGCATATGTTAGTTATTGGGGATTGAAGCCAGAGGTACTGAGCTACATCCACAATCCTTTTTTATTTTGAGACAGGATCTAAGTTGCAGAGACTGGCTTCAAACTTGCAGTCTTCCCCCTGAGCAGCTGGGCCCAGCTTAATCTGTGCCTTTTGATTAGAGAGATTAACCTATTTACATTTACATTTAAAGTAATTGCTGATACGACCTATTTCTGCCATTTTGCTCCTTGTTTTCTGTATGTTTTGTAACTTTTTTGGACCCTTGTTTCCTCCATTATTGCTTTTGTGTTTAGTTCATTTTTTTTTGTTGTAACACATTTTTTATTCCCTTATTACTTTTTTAATTTTAATTTTTGGTGTAGTAGTAGATGGAAGAATGCTTTTATTTTATTTGTCTTTATGTGGTGCTAAGGATCGAACCCAGTGCCTCACACATGTTAGGCAAGTGCTCTGCCCCTGAGCTACAGCACCAGCCTCGCKTATTTCCTTTTGTGTACGTTCCAGATACACACAGAAACGTGAAGATTACATATAATGTCCTCAAGTTAAGTGGCCCCAGTCCCCACAGGGATCCTGTGCTCTCTGTGCCTGCCCACCTCCCACCACCCCTCAGCTTTAAAGACCTGTCCTTCTGTGAAGCATTCTTTTTTGTTATGAGTTCATTTCAGTTATATATAATATTATGGGATGTAATTTGCTCTAATTCATCCCCCTTTCCTCTCTTCCCTCCCCTGTTCCTTTTCCTTTACTGATCTTTCTTTTATTTATAGTTTTTTTTAAATTACTGCCTKATGGATATACATAAAGGTGAGATTCACTGTAGTGTATTCATATATGGAACATAATACAGTTTGGTCAAGTTCTTAATGGAGAAGACGGTAGAACAATGATGATTTTAAAAAGATTCTGTAAGAGAAGAGACAAAGCATCCCAGCTCCCTGGGAGGGCTTGTTGTTGGCRGAAGCTTCTCAAGGCCTTCTAGACATGCTCTGTGCCAGGGTGATGCCAGCACAGGCCCCTGAGCCCTGCATATCTGCATCTGCGTGGCAGGGGAGCTGCACAGCCCCTGGGCCTTCTCTGAGCTGCCTGCAGCCTCCCTGGACCCGGACTAGTTCCAGATGGCCCCATGGAAAGTGGCTTTTTCATTTCTCTGAGTTTTATTTCCTATGATAAGCCCTTGGGCATAGAAAAGGGGCAGAGAATGCAGCCCCTCTGGGGTTCCCGCTGTGCTTGCCCCCATCCATCCCTGGCCAGCCATGTTGGTGGGCAGGGCACAGCTCTCCTGCACTTGATGCCCGCTGTGCAGCGTGGGGGACCTGTGAACCTTGCAGGTGTGTCCCCTAGAGCGTGTTGCCTTCCCAGTGGGTGTGGGGCATCCTACGACCAGAACTAAGGGYGCTGTCTTTGGACCCCATGGAGCTGCGCTGGCTCATGTCCTGTGCTACCTGCATTTGTTTCAGATCAGACCTACTGTGACCGCCTGGTGCAGGACACGCCTTTCCTGACAGTCCAAGGGCGCCTGAGTGAGCAGCAGGTGGACAGGATTATCCTTCAGCTGAATCGCTACTACCCACAGATCCTCACCAACAAGGAGGCCGAAAAGGTGCTGAGGAGGTGAGGGTGGGGGTACCCAAGATGCCTCTTGATCCCCTTCCTTTCCAGACTGGGGGGAGCAGGCACTGTGGTCATCTTCTCAGGGGATGGCACACCAAATGTTTCAGGGTAGCTCACGGTGACACCCCTGGGCCCAGGCACTAGAGCTGCCCAAGTSGAAACTCTGTGGAGTGACCCCAGCAGACCCAGAACATCAGCCTGTCTCTTCCTGTGTCCTTACATCTGCTGCCCCTTCCAGAGTTGTGGAGGGGCTACAGGAGGTGACACATGACAACATACAATAGCACCCGACAGCAGGAGGTTGGGAGGGAGAGCAGAGAGGGGCTGAGGAGGGAGGGATGGAAAGTTCCTGCTGGCGTCGCCCTGGAGCTCCACAGCCGCTCCTCCCTGCATTTCCAAAGGATGAAARGAGGCGAAGACTTGCTTCCTCGCCTGTGTGAGGCTGGAACCTGGCCCCTCTGAGGTGGGCAGCCAGGCTCCAGGCCAACAGGTGCTGGCCTGCCTCATAGCCAAGCTCACTCTGCCCTGTTCTGCAATGCTGAGGGAGGTCGGTCCACTGGGACCTTAGCTTCCCATCTGGGAAGTGGGCATGAAGCCCTGGGTACTGACAGGCTATGGGGGGACTGGCTCATATGTGTCAGGAAAGTAGTTCCTGGGTGCTCTCCATCCAGAAGGGTCCCTGCGAGTAGCCACCATCATCACCCTTTTACAGAAAAGGCTGCTGCGGCCCAAGAAGCTGTCACATGCCCTGGGTCATCCATCACAGGAGGTGAGGTCACACCTGGCTTTCTCAGAGCTGTAGATGCCACATTGGCTGCACTGAATGTGACATTTGAGATGCAGTTCCTGAGCTCTGTCCCAGGAGGTCTAATCCTGTCCAACTCCTATGGGGCCAAGGGACACTAAAGGGTGCCCCAGGGCTCAGGGACACTGGATGAGAGAGTTGAGCATGCCCTGACCCAAGCCCCAGCTCCTCCCTAAACGCCCGTTCCCTGGCAGCAGTCACCAGGACTGGAGGRCTGGGCAGCTGGTGCCAGAGACCCACAAGATCTTTGGAGTTCAGGTCCTGCCCGTGGCCTCGCCACTGGGTGACCCTGAATGAGTCCCTTCCCAACTTGGAGCTGTAGTCCTCACTTGGTGTGAGAGTCACAGGGCCACTTAYAAGGCTGCCCTGAGGGGTGGGCTCTCCTGGAACAGGCAGGATTGGTCAGGACAGAGCTAGACCCAAAGTGGGCTGCTGCAGACTCAGGTGCTGCTCCATTTTAAAAGTCACAGAAGGATTTAAAATGATCAACTCAAATGCATCTCAGGCCGTAACTAAATGTCTAATTCATTCCCACCTTTAAAATTTTGAAAGCTTTTAGGTGTTTTTACAGTGGAAAGGGGAACCACTCTACACCAGACACTCCTGTTGGCTCTTGTCACGCTKTGGTGGTTCCCTGTAGCCATGTACGTCACCACCAAGGGGAAGCATCAGGCCACAGCCTCCTGGTCCCTGTCCAAGCCCTCTGTCCACTGACCTTTATAACCACATGTTCACCCATTACGCTCGTCAGAAGAGCCCAGTCATTTCTCAACTCATTTTTAAATACTGGAAACTTGTTCTCAGGGACTGCAAATTCACAGAAGTTGCCACTTATGCCATGACTTCACTGATACCCTGTAACGATCTTTCCATGTGGGTTTACTATTCCCTTTTTATAAATAAAGAAACCAAGACTGAGAGGGTTGAAGAAACTTGCTGTAGTCCCACAGGAAGCCACACTGCRTCGCATCAGTGGCTGCAGGATGCTGTCCTCTGCCTGTTTTTTTCCCCAGAATGTTTTCCCCCCACCCCACCACCCAAAGAGTAAGGCAGCAGTGCCCATGGCTGTGGCATTGTCAGGGCCACGTGATGTGGCTAAGAGGCCATGGGTATTGCAGGCACTGCCATCTGTGGGTGGACCCTGTTGCTGGGAGCTCTGAACCCAGCACCTTGCCCTGACCTACCTTCACCCCTTCCAGCCTGCTCTTTCTTCCTTTCCCAGTTTCGGAACCCCAAGGTGTCCCTGCGCCTACGACTTTGTGACCTCCTGAGCCATCTGCAGCGGAGCGGGGAGCGGGACTGCCAGGAGTTCTACCGAGCCCTGTACATCCACGCCCAGCCCCTGCACAGCTGCCTGCCCAGCCGCCACGTGCTGCGTAAGTCCCCCCCACTAACCCTCCACGAGGGCCAGGCAGGACATCCTGGCTGGCTGCTGATGGCGTGCACAGCATCAGGGCCCTCTGAGTCTGCGGCGGCCCAGGCCTGGGCATCCCTCCTTCTTGCACCTCCACCTTGGGAGAGTGTCACCCCAGCAGGGATCTCTCTGCCTGTCTATTCCTGTCTTCTGCTCCCCTCTCTCCCTCTGTCTCCCCACTTCTCCTTCTCTACCTCCTCTCTCTCCTCCTATCTCCAGGTCTCTGTTTCTCTCTTTCTCTCCCCACTCTCCTCCTTCAGTCTGTCCCTCCTTCTCAGGTCAGTYTTCAGAGGCCAGCCTCCCCTACATCTGCTCCTCCTTCCTTTCCTAACTTCACTCACCACGGGTCTCTCCTGTCCACACTGATGGCAGCCCTGTCCTAYGGCTGCATGGTGTTCCCAGGCCATCCCTTCTTGGAGTGACCTGTTTCATGGCAGACACTGACGTTGTCACCTTCTGCCACAGCTTGCCTGAGCATGCGGGGGTTTCTATAGGGCATCCGCAGGCATGGATGGCCAGTTAGGGCTCGCGCATTTTGATTTAGAGAGTTTTGTCTCAAAGACAGTGTATCCCCAGGCCCTGGGAGGTGTGCAAGTCCCAAGGGTCTGGGGTCCTCTGAGCTTCTGGGACCAGGGAGGGTACAACAATGCTGGAATTGTGGCTCCATTCTGAGGCTACTGTGCTTGGGGCTGGAGGRGGAGGGGCTGCYGCCCCCAACCAGAGTGATGACGTGGCTCAGTCCAAGCTGCTCAGGCCTGTGTCTTTGATCCCTAGAGGCCTACCTGGACCTCACGGTTCCACGCTATGGACACTTGAGGGCAGAGTACGCAGGCCCTCTCACCCCRGCCACACATGTTCCTGGGGTCCTCRGAATGTAGCTAGGGCCTGTGCCATTGCAGAAAGTAAAGCACCTTCTGTGGGTCCTAGAAGCCCCCAGGGCCTGCCCAGCAGACAGGCTTCCTGGAAAGAACCAAGGAGGGGCCTGGGGAGAAGCCCCAGCCCAGCTGCCCCTAGTAAGACAGTCTCCACCTGCCAGTAGCTGGCTGAACGATGGATGCTGCATTTGGTGTCTTGTGGCCAACAACCATGATGTCATAGTAACTGGACCAAAGAAGACCCCAAACCACAGGGCTCCCTGAGGGGGCTGACTTGCCAAGTCCTGGCCTGGCCAGAGCCACACAGCACTGTGTGGCCATGGGAGGGCCTGTGGCCTCAGGAGGTGGCATTGCCTTGCATTTCCCATGAGGTGACCACCTTGCTCTCGGGCTCGGCCCGTGACTAACTGCTCTGTGATTTTGTTTCCAGAAAACTCAGATTGCACAGAGCTCGACTGGGGCAGCGAGAGCCATGAGCTGAGTGACAGGGGTAACGCCCCCCACCACCTCCCTCCCCTCTTTCTTTCTCTCTCCTCCCACCCTCAGGGCTCCGGCTCTGTCCCAGGGGCTGCTCCATCCCAAGTCGGGCTCCATTCCTGGCTTTCTTTCGGTAGACAGGCCCCTAAGCTGCTCTGGCTTGGGGCAGGGGCCTGTTCACACTTGTTTCTCCCCAGGACCCATGAGCTTCCTGGCGGGCCTTGGCTTGGCCGCTGGACTGGCCCTCTTCCTCTACTGCTGCCCTCCAGGTGGGTACAGGTAGGCCCTCAAGAGACCCCAGGAGAACAGGGCTGCATCCCAGGCCTGCCTGTGCTCAGCCCCTGACCAGGAGCCGGCCCTGAGGCCCGTCTGGCAGGAACCTCTGGCCTCTTCCTGCCTCAGTTTCCCCACCTGTGCAGTGACGTGGTTTCAGGACCACCTGGCAGGGCTCATAAGGGATTGGGTGTGTGGAGCCACCCCCCCCCCCCAGCCCTTGGTGGCTCCTGCTTGCCCCCAGCATCAGASAATGAGGAGCCTGGGAAGGAGGGGCAGCTGCAAAGCCCTGCCACACCTGTGAGCTCGAGCCATGTGGGGCCCTTGAGCAGGCCACCTCCCGAGCCTCCAGTCCTTCTGCCAGTGGTGTCACAGGCCTGGCAGGCAGGAGACCGCTGAGGGCCAACAACTGCCATGCAGTGCGGATGGCCCCACCTCTCTTTTCTGTGGTGCCTGAATTTGTCGCCCCAGGAAGGGTGTGGGGCCCAGGTGCACATCCCAGAGCCCTCACACTGAAGGCCTGTGGGCCTCCCAGGGAGCCCTGGGCTCCAGGGTCTGCCTGGATTCCTGTCTGTGGACTCAAATACCCAGACTGTGAATGAGAGGTGACAGAGTGGGAGGGAGTGGTGGTGGCTCCAGTTCTCTGTGACCTGGCCAGGCAGAACAGAGTCCCCTTCACGGCTGGCTCTTACRTTTTTCCTTCCCGTGTCTTCCAGACCCCAAAGTGCTGCCAGGGGCCCGGCGGATCCTTGGCTTCTCACCTGTCATCATCGACAGGCATGTCAGCCGCTACCTGCTGGCCTTCCTGGCAGATGACTTCAGGGCCTTGTGACAGACCCAGACCTAGAGGATCTTGCCCTCTGCTCAACCAAAGAATCCCGTGGCTGCCCGCCCCCGGGCCAGCACTCCTTTTTCTAAATGCTATTTTTCAYTATTTATAATTTCTATATGAAGAACCTTTATCCCACAAGGTGCTTWATGATATTAAACGTTCAGTCTGCTCAGCCTGTCTCTCCCTCRTCTCAGGATCCTACATGATTCTGACTGTAGCTGCTCCAGAGTGGGCTGAGTCAGAGGGTGCTTCTCGTACCTGAGTGCAGCCAAGGCCCAGGGCAAGGTGCCCCCCACCGAGGYTCACCGTGTCAGATGTCCTCTGATGCTGTGCTCCACACTGTCCCCACTCTTGCTCCACCTCTGAGCCTTTCTGACTCTTCCTGCCTAGTACCCTTGGTAGTCCCCATATCTGGTCTCTGTCCAGCCCCATGGGCCTAGGTGGGGAAGGTGGACTTGGGCCGCTGGCCTGGCAGCTCTGCTGCTGACGCTGAATCCCAGGCCTGGCCACCGTGGGTTGGGGGTAGCAATGGGCTCTGTAGGCCTGCAGTGGGGGTACCAGCTGCTCTTAACATTCACATGTGTTAAGTCTGATTCCCCCAACAAACCTGGAAGGTAGGGGCCGTTATCCCCACTTTCCTAATGAGGACACTGAGGCCCAGAAAAAGTGTCACTCAGGTAGTAGAGGGGGAAAGAGGATATTAGGCCAGGTCTGAGCTCAAGTCTACCTTGTCCCTGTCCTCTCCTATGATTGTCCAAGGAAACACCCTGCATCCACCCTCCTTGCCAGGTCCTCTCCCTTGGCCTCTTGGACACTATCTAGCCACCAGAGCCTTAGCTCCTTCACACCCCAGGCCAGCCACTATCACCTGGGAACAGAGGTCCCAACAGAGTTAGAACCCTCAAGCCCACCCCATCCATCATTAGGGTGAATGAGGAGTCGGTGCTGCCAAGCATGGTTGGGCAGGTGCAGGGACCAGGCTTCAGCCATGTCAGATACATGTGTGGTCACTCTTATGGCAGGGAACCACCCTGCCCAYGGGAAGAAAGCTAGACTTTGGGAACAAAGCAGTCCACAGAACTTTTTAGATCTTTAAGAAATGAAAAAGGCCACTATGCATCTGAGGTCCTGGGGGCTGGCTTCTCATGCCCTGCCCTGGGCCTGGTATTTGGCCACAGCCAGCCTTTCATGTGTCCTGAAACTGGGGCCCCTGTGCCTCTGGAACAGGGTCTGCTCCYGCGACTGATGGGACTGCCCATCTTGTTTCCACCGCCGGCCTCAGCCTCAGGACCCATCCTGGAAGTATCCTTGTGGACACCAGGAAGGTGAACACAAACCAGGGGCCTGGTGCTCTGCCCTTGCTTCCATCAGCAGACCCCCCCTCCCCGGCAGGGCCTCTTGCCTTAGGCAGTGTGAACCACGTTGACAGGCATCTCCTCTGAGGGACTCCCCAAGGCTGAGGCCAGTGGAYATCCCCGACCCTCAACTGCAACTCCACCCAGTCACAAGCTCTCTGTTGGGACATTGCTGCCCTCACTGTGAGAAGAGAAAACGGAAGCCCAGAGCCAAGTCACACAGCAGCCAAGAGGCCAGCATGAGGGGCACTCCTTGTGCCCTCTGCCCACACCACTGCCTCTCACCCACTGCACACTCATACACACAAGTACACACATGTGCACAGTAGTTATGCACATGCATGTGTATGCACACATGTGTCCTCACATATTGCACAAGTGTACACACTCCTTAATGTCTACAYAGCACGTGCACACATACACAYGTGCATGTGAACACAGATGCATGCAAGGCCCTGGCTGCGGGGCCTGAGCCAGGGCCCCTGATGATTTCACCTGATTGCCTCTCCCTGCCGGCCCTCCCCACCAGCCTTTTTTGGGGAAACAATAACATTTGCAGCACACAGAATCATGGTGAGTGTGCATTTTCCACGGGGGGTTTCCAGAGGCACGTGGAAGGGGCCATGGCAGGCCTTAACTCTGGGATGACACCACAAGTGGACACATGGGCACAGGGCCAGGCTCCTTTGGGAGAGGGGGTGCTCACGACTCAGGATCATGAAGCACGTGAGGGTGGCAAACGCGATTTGTGGGTGGTGCTCCCAGATGCCTCTCTGCCAACTCCTGTGCTCATTCAAGAGAACTGAGGGAGGGTAAAGGAAAGCCACACCWGCGGGGCTTCCCACCTGCCAGGACGCCATGTAGCCAGTGATGAAGTGGTTTTGGGGACAGCCCCCATTACYGTCTTGCTCCCCTACCTCCAAACTGCAGGGCCAAGGTGTGGATTTCCAAGTCTCCAGGCCTCTGTTTGTCTGTCTGTCACAAGGGAACCTTGCTCTGAACCCTCCTTGCYGAACACAGCTGGTAGAGCAAAGCTGTTACAGTGCTGTTCCCACGAGAGAGCTTTATGAATTTACCACTATTTACCACTGGAAAGCACCCCTCATGTTGCAGGGGACAGATGTGGCAGGGGACCGAAGATAGCAGGAAACAGTTTTATTTGGATCAGAGGGTTCAGCTTTCGCTGTAATCAATTAATCCCCTGAACCCCAAGTCTAGGTAGTTTCAGAACTTTATACCCTTATACCCAGCATGTAAGGGGAGGGGCTCAGAAGCTCACAGTCTGCAGAAGTTCACACAAAAGCAGCTCTTCCTTTCGCTGTTCTGGRCAAGTTAACCCTTCAAGGACAGCACCTGAGAAGGGGAGAGCTTCTTCTCCCCTTTCTTTCCTCCCCTGCCAGCGGTTACCATGGAGCCCAGTTGGTAACTTCTCTTATCTTAGAAATGTAGACATCTCCTTGAAGCCCAGCTCAAGGCCAGAGGCTTTGTTAAAGGATTTGTCTTTTTATTATCTCACTTTGCATTTGCAAACACACTTCTACTCTACTGGATAAATGTTTGTGAAATACTAGTAAAGGGGTGTCCAGCACCTGGAGTGCTGATTTCTTCCAGGCCAGTGGCCAAGTAAAATAGAGCAACAGGAAAACAGGAAGTTTACCCACATTGAACTCTTTTGTACACTCTTCTGCGGACAGTCCTAAAATCTTCACCATAGTAAAGATTTCTGGAGAAGCTTAGTGAAGATTTTCTGTGGAGAAGGGGGTGCCACTACACTCACACTTGGTAAAGGTAACAAGCATTTAGTGAAGGGACAGAGACACATGGGTGAAGGTGACACATACCTTGTAAAGGGCACAGACACTTGTGTCCAGCATGTGCACAGGCTGAACTTGTCCCTGGAGGTCCAGAAATAGGCAAGGCCTCAGGCCAAAGGCCTGGGAAGGTCCCGGGCTGGCCCCACCTGAGACCACAGAGAACACACCTCCTCAGGACTGTGAAAAGGCCGAAGGCCATGATTTCCGAGGCCCAGAAGGTCCCCAAGAGGGGACCAACAGCACAAGCCTGTCCCCTGGACTTGAGTCCACCTGGCGTAGGATTGCTGACTTTCTCCTTCCATTTGAGACCCACAGAGGCCCTGCCCTGAGGCCCAATCTGCCAGCCCCTGGGCACAGATGGTCCTTGGCTGCCCCTCCCAGCCTCTAGTCACCTGGGTCCCACTCCTGACCCAGGTAGCCTCAGAGCCTGTGACTGTGGCTTTCAAAGACCCTCACTGCAAGCCCCACCTCCCATCTGCCACCTCCCACCTGGCTGGTCCTCCACAGGCCTCCCATCCGAGCCTGGAGCCCACGGAGGAGAGCACAGTGGAAGGGTTCTTGTATAAGGCGTAGGCACTCCCCCTGCTTGGGGATCCCTCCCCATCCACCAACAGACTCATCCTCAGGTCCTGAACAGAATGTCACCTACTCCAGGAAACACTTTTGACACACAAGTAAGAACAGTGGCCGCTCCAGGGACACTATTCCCAGAACTCTGCAGGGGCTGGTAGGGACAGCCAGGATGCGGGGAGAGCTCCCATTACCAGAAGTTCGTCACAAGGGAGAGGAGGTGCAGCTGCAGAGGAGAGCAGGAGGCTTGGTGGAGCTCTGGGCTGGCTGAGCCCGACCAGCGAGGATACAGGGCACACGAGCCCAGGGCAGGAAATGCATCTGCATCTTGCACAACACAGGGTTGATGACTGCACACGTGTGCAGGTGCAGGGTTGGATTTGGGGGTGCACTGACACTGCTTTTCTGTAGTGTCACCATTTCCATTCCCACTGGGTCGGCACCTGCTAGGTGGGGTCTTCTCCCCCACTGCAGATGGCTCACAGGGGCCCTGCCAATGTCCCCGAGCCCCAGGTCCAGCCAGACACAGGTCACGGCTCACTTGGGTCTTGGAGGGGGTTAGCCTCTCGTGGTCCACATGGCTTCCAGCACCTGAGGGGTGCTCAGGAGTTGGAAAGAGGGAGGGATGCTGTTCCRTCACTGGGGTCACCTCACTGCTGGGCCCCATCACCTGTAATGTGGGTCAGAGAACAAGGACCTCTTTTGAGGCACAAGAGGACTGGTACATGTCCCCCTTTCTGACAGCTGGGGCCTGGATTGGGGAGGCTCCGGTCAAGTGACCATGGGACCCCCAAATTTTAATCTGACCAGAGAGCATAACCCATATTATAGTGGAGCCTGAGGGGAATGGCCATGTCTCGGGGGTCCTCACACCCCACTTCCCAGAAGACTCAAGCTTTGGGGGAAGGGTCTATCCTGGCCTGAAACTGGCCTGGCAGCCTCCATAGGCTGGGGGAGGAAGAGGTGCTGGGCTGGGGACACCTACTCAGGCCACATCCATGTCAACAACCRGAATTAGTATCTCCCCAAAAAGAGAGCGTTTCCCTCCCCCCACCGGGGATTGAACCCAGGGGGTCTCAACCACTGAGCCACAACCCTAGCCCTTTTTTATATTTTGAGACAGGGTCTCACTGAATTGCTTAGGGCCTCGCTAAGGCTGGCTTTGAACTCATGATCCTCCTGCCTGAGCCTCCCAAGCCCCTGGGATTACAGGTACGTACCACGGCACCTGGCCCAAAATGTGTGTTTGAGAGCTAAAGAAGAACAYCATGAAAGCTTTGGACTCCCTGAGTTTCAAAAGCAAAGCAGTTGAAATCTGCTTTGAATCTCGCCCCTACTAAATCCCCATTAAACTCAGGGGGGAGAGAAGGCTCCTGGGAAATGGAGGGGAGGCTGGGCAGAGTGGGTGTGGGAAGGAGGACGACCCCCCCTGG